CAAAAAAAAACTATCATAAATGCTATCCCCTCCACATCTAGACTTGAAACGTTAGCTACCTCTGTTTTCATGGATACTGTCTGACCCACTGTGATCTCCAGCATTTGTTATTTTCGGTACAGATTCCAGCATCTGCAGTATTTTGTTCCTAAAGCCAGTGTCAGCTTGGATTAAAACAATTGGCTCAATGACAGAGGTCAGTGAGTTGTTCTAAATGGTTGTTTTTTCATTCTGGATGATGATAGATATCAGTGTCCCCCCAGGTTCAGTGCTAGGGTCACTGCTTTTCTTGATATATGTAATGACTTAAGTACAGAGTAAAATTTCACAATCTGCACATGAAACCGAACTGAGAGTGCAGCAAATAGTGAGAATGATATTGATTGATTACAACAGGAAAAAGGATAGGCGAGCAGAATGGACAGACATAGCAAGTAGAATTTCCTGCAGAAAATATGAATTGAGTTGTTTTGGCGGAATGGATATCGAGAGAAATATTTGGCGTTGCTCAAAAGAATTTGCAGGAATGAAAGAACTTGGGAGTTCATTTTGGAAGGTCGAATTTGAATACAGAATACAGGGTATATGGCAGGTTTATCGGCAGTGTGGAGGAACAGAGATCTTGGGGTACACGTCTATAGATCCCTCAAAGTTGCTATCCAAGTTGATAGGGTTCTAAAGAAGGCGTATGGTGTGTTGGCTTTCATTGTCAGGGGAATTGAGTTTAAGAGCTGCGAGGTTATGCTGCAGTTCTATAAAACTGTGGTTAGACTACACTTGGAATATTGTGCTCAGCTCTGGTCACCGCATTATAGGAAGGATGTGGAAGCTTCAGAGAGGATGCAGAGGAGATTTACCAGGATGCTGCCTGGACTGGAGGGCAGGTCTTACGAGGAAAAGTTGAAGGAGCTAGGGCTTTTTTCATTGGAATGAAGAAGGATGAGAAGTGACTTGATAGAGTTGTACAAGATGATGAGAGGCACAGGTAGAGTGGATAGCCAGAGACTTTTTCCCAGGTTGGAAATGACTGTTACGAGGGGGCATAATTTAAAGGTGAATGGAGGAAGGTATAGGGGAGATGTCAGAGGTAGATTCTTTACACAGAGAGTGGTGGGTGCGTGGAATGCGCTGCCAGCAGTGGTAATGGAGTCAGATACTTTAGAGACTTTTAAGCGACTCTTGGATAGGCACGTGGAGGATAGTAAAATGTAGAGGATGCAGGGTAGTTTGAGCTTAGTGGGATAATAGGCCGGCACAGCATCGTGGACCAAAGGGCCTATTCTGTGCTGTACTGTTCTATGTTCATGTGCACGACTCTCTGAAGGTGGCAAGGCAGATTAACAGCAGTTAACAAAGCGGTATCTTGAGCTTCTTAATTAGAGGTAGTGAAAACAAAACCATAGAGGTACTCTGAATGCGTAATAATGCTTTGTTTAGGCACAGTTTGAGTATTACATACAGTCCTGATTATTGCATTTTAGCAAAGAAGCGATACTCCTTGAGAGGGTGGGGAGGAGACTTAATC